ATTCAGCTTTCATGCGCTGGCGCGTGAAATTTTTAACTATTTTCCAATGTTTGAACTATTTTTGCACAGACAAATGTACAAAGCAGTGAAAATCATTAACAGGCAATCGCTCGATGGGCTGAGTTGCACAAAACGCGTGATCGCACCGGCCAGTCTGGTGCGCGTTGCTATTTATTACACCATTTTATGTTGTAGCAAGATTGCAAGGAATCACAGTAGCTAAAACTTGTGACATACTAGCCCTCGAAGTTCAGGAAGTTAACTGCGCAGCTATGTGGTCACTTGTAGACCCGACAAATGAGACGTAGACGCGCATGACAATTGATATCGCGTCCCGGGGTCGCAACTGGCCAGATCGCAAACTTGTAAAATTTCAGCATCAAAGCTTACGTGGTTGGCAAGTAGAAACACCCGGACAGATGAATACATACACACGCACACACACACAGGACCACCGTAATATGCATTTTGCTGTCTGTTGCAACGCTCTAACGCCACACGGCAAAAACGCATACGCGGTAGCTGTTCAGCGCACCAAAGTTACTTTTCTAAGCTCTCAGATGCGGCACAAAACCTCAGTTTTGAGGCGTATCCCGCGCAGAAATTTTCCAACTGAAATTGCTGCAACACTTCTACGTCGCCTGACGACGGACTTCTGTCCTTCATCGCCTTCCTGAAAAGCATTCAGATAAGAAGCGTTGGACGAGCGTTTCACTGATAAAACAATGCAAAAGAAATCTGATGCTGATTCAACACTGGTTGATACGACCAGCGCCAAATTCTTAGCTAAATTTTGTCGAAGAAATGAGAAACAAAAAAGCAATGCCTGCCCTTCCCCGCCTGAATCTCCTGCGGGTCGAAAAGAAGCTTTGAAATCCTTAATTTGAAAAAAATTCCAATGCACCTGTGTCTGTGGAAGATTTCGTCGATCAGCAGACGGCTCTTCTTGTTCATGTAGTTCTTCGGTGAGATCAACCAATTTTTCGTCCTAAAATAGCTTAAGAATGTTGAAAAAAAGACACTGCAACGAGGGGACCAACAAAACAAGCATCAATCAACAACAAAAGCCAACAAACTATTTTAAAGCAGTGTCCAGTTAGGGCAAAAAAAAATTGGTTTTAATATCGCCAAACTACTGATATTTCATTAGAGAGAACCTGCGCGCCACTGATGTAACCGACAACCTCACAATCAGTGTTGTAATAGCAAGATCGAATCATTCGAGAGCCAGCATGCTGATAATTCAAAAAATGCAACAAAATATAAACCGCTGTATGCCTGTGTGTGTGTGTGTGTGTGTGTGTGTGTGTGTGTGTGCATGTGTGTGTGTGTGTATATGTGTGTGTCTATTCAACAAAAGATATGCGTAACAAGATGTTGATGCGGATGTACGATTTCGTTATCAAGCTACTGTAGATCCGAGCTTGCAAACAGAAATTCGCATATAAGAATTAATTCTTCCTTTAACTCAGCACATAAAAAAACGAAACTTAAAACCCCTGTGTTGTCCTGCAATTCGTATTTTAATGCAAAGTCATAGCTGAGGAACCAATCTGGCCTAAAAAATGATTTCCGGTCAATCAAACTGTCCTTTTAGGTTAGCTAAATTCCGAAGATGTAAATTTTCATACCCCGTCTTTAAAATTAGAGAAAAAAAAATTCAATTTTTACATGAAACTAAAAGTGCGCGAGAAACAAAGCCAGTGATTTAATTTGCTATGAAATTTTTCCCAAATTGTAAAGACCAACCATCAAGATTTGAGGAATGAATTTGGAGTAGGGTTATCTGGAACACAAATCTGTGAACACAAGTCAGACAGCAAAGGAATGTCAGCCGTTTTCAAAGTATGTAGTATCTGATCTGAGATTATGCTTCACAAATTTCAGGACGAATGCCTATCGAATAACAGCATGCAAGGTACACAGGACGTTGTAGGACTGCGGGAAGCGAATATAAGAACAAAATGCGAACTCACAAAAGTGCATACGACTATGGGTAGGGAGGACAAAAGAAAAGTTGGAAGACGATTTAGCACTTCAGGGCACATGATCGGGCAAATTCCAGCTTAATTTTTTCGAGTCAAAGTGCCACGTGCATACAAACACACACACACACACAAGCATACATATACACACAAACACACACACACATATATCCCACCACAGTGCACTTCTTAATACACGCATAAATCGCAACGCATATCTGGGGGCTGAATTTGAAATGTTTAGCCAGTACATGCACAGGGAATGCCCCTGCAAAGTCTCAGCCCCTCAGCTCGTGTGGTTCCCGAGATCGCTTTCCCGCCAAAAAATTTGCATGTTTTTTTAAGGGGTCCGTATACAGCGCCCAGGTGTCCGCGGGGGTGATATTGAAATGAAAGGGTCAAGCATGGTATGGGCACATATTCCCAAAGTTTCTGTCTTCCATCTTTTCTGGTTCCCGAGTTATCAATTTTCCCGCCAAAACTTTCACTCTCTCGTACGCGGGGCCCAGACGTGCGTGAAAGCTGGTACCGCGATTCTGGGGAGGATATGCGAAAAAAGCTATTTCCGCAAAGTACCAGCAAATAAGACGGAAGTTCAGAGTCAATTAGCTAAAACAGTAGGCACAGGGAGCAAATTTTTCAAACCAACGAAGCCATTTGGTGTGAAAGGGGCGCGTAACATTCCTTGGTGGCATTTATTGTGTGTTAAGCCTCAAATTCATTCCTGTGATTTATGGCAGAGACCTTGCCAGCTGAGGAAATCCGACTGGATGACTTCGATGATTCCAAACTTTGCTCGGGCGGCTTCAGTTCTTGCAGCCGCTCTGCTTTTACAGCTGCTTCAGTGGTGGCACTGTTACCGGGGCTAATCGAAGGATCCAGCAGCTCGCTGCAGTACTGCTCAGCTGTCTGAGTGGGAATGCTAGTCGCATTAATTTTCGGGTCCGTCACTTCCCTGCAGCATTCCTCGACGCGTCCCTCTGAAAATAGATTATTCCGTGATCAGTCCACTGCGCGCCATTCCAAATTTTAGAAACTGCTGCCTTATGGGAATGAAGCAAACCAGTTATTTGTTGAGCAGGAGCTGCTTTCTGCAAAATACTCATCAAGTCGCACGGTTCGCCTGCTTTGTTACGTACAATAATATCACCAATAAATGCTTCACCGTTTTCAGAGACTTTTTCTAAATTTGCCAAGCACAAATGTGATGAAGCTATAGCAAAACTTCAATAATGAACTGCGATTCCGGTCTGACATAAGCAAATATCATTAAGGCCGCGTGCATCAAGAACAGCTGCGCTAATTATATAAAAGAAAGTAAAAGCAAAAGACGGATAAGTCTGATTACCGAGCTGTGCCCATACAATTTTAGAGGAAGACTAACCGCCAGCAATAAGGGCGGAGGGGCTAGGGGATTAACATGAAACAAAACAAAAAATTGTGCGGATGAGAGAGACCCAAAAAAAAACCAAAAAAAAAACAAGAACAAGAAAAAACAAGACCCAAACAAGAACAAATGTGGCGATAACACGGCACAACAACAAAATTCACTTGAAATACTTAATCCAGTTGTTCTATTCACAGGCACCTTGTGGACACTAATGTATTAAATTATAGAACAAGTTCATAAAACTTAAGCAAAATTTCCAATGCAGGACATCTTAGTACTTGAAATCAACATTAGTTAAGAGGGACTGTTGCTCACTGACAGCAATCAAATAAGCATTCCAAGCCATTTAACAAA